ACTATCACTTAGATATTTATCTGAAGTTATCTGGGAGTTTTAAATCTTGCTTTTAACTTGATGTCAGACAACGTTTTTATGATGTGACACTGTGGTAACATATGGTAGTTGTCTAGTAGTAATCGGTCCCTTTTATTGGAGGGGTGGTAAGAGGAAGGACAATGCAGCGCTGTGGATCCGATATCTGTGTTTCCACAGCAACAGATATTAAATTACGACGGGTGGTGGACTTTAAACAGAGGTGGAGGGACAGGTGACGCAGGCTTCAGTAAACTGTCTTCTTCCTGAACAGAAACGCAGCAGTCTCAGACATGGTAAGAAATTCCATTTTCCATCGAGCCTTTTTGTGCATTTTCTTACACAACAGACCATTTTTCTGTATTTACCCAACAAGTGATGCCACACTATTGTCACCTTGCAGGCTAAATTCCTCACACAAGCTCAGATTAATGGTAAGATTCATCTACAGGTGCATGTTGTCGATCACTGTTTCACTCTGTTACTGATGTTTGAAATGATTTATTTGTACAAAACAACCAAACTCTCTTCTTTTTCAGTCTAATTAATTCCGGTTTACCAAAGATTTACTGTGATAAAGCTCCTCACTAATTACAACAAGGGGGGGAAAAAGTACTGTCATTCAAAAACTTTGTTTTCCCCACTGCAGAGTACAAAGAGTGCTTCTCATTGTATGACAAGAATCAAAACGGCAAGATAAATAACAATGACCTGATCACAGTTATGCGCTGCCTGGGTACAAGCCCCACACCCGGTGAAATCAGGAGACATCTACAAGTCCACAAAATTGGTAAACTATAGCATGCAGTAAATCAAAGTCTTTTTGTCTTTGAATAACAGCTTGTTGTGGGTTTAGACACATGAGTGTAGCATAAGGGACAAGTCTGAGAGGTGACATTTAAATGACAGTAATTTCAAATTGCACTGACAGTCTTTACTACTACTGTTGAAGCATAAACTGGTGTTTGTGCTTTAAAATTCGTGGTTTTGTACATTTTTCTTACAGCCTTCTTAATGTGTGCTACACACAGTATAACACTATATATCCTTAAGAAATGCAGGGAAAAGACAGCAAATAAAAATAACAAAGGGCCTAAAGAAGTACAAGAGCAAAGGGCATTTTCTTTTTAAACTTTAATCATCAAGTCAAGGTTAAATAAAATGTACCACCTGATTTCACATTTGTGTTTAGAAAAGTCTGCTGAGGTGGAGTTCTCTACGTTCCTGTCAATAATGCACAGACAGATGCAACAGGAGGATCCCAAAGTGGAAATCCTGGAGGCCTTGAAGATGACGGACAAGCAGAAGAAGGGATACATCGAGGCATCTGAGCTGCGGGCCAAGCTCACCATGTTAGGAGAGAAACTCACAAACAAAGAAGGTAGAGCAAATGAGGTTTCTAATTAATGAGATGTTAAGTTTTTACTGATACCTCGGAACAATACGGCCAATATTAGATGATTACATAGTGTTTCATAATCCAAAGTGAGTCTTAAGGTCTCTAATAAATATCTTGAGGACGTTTCGATCTGTGCTCAAATAGCTGAGCTTGTAGGGCATTACACGACAGGAAGGACACCACTATGGTCTGTCTCTCCACAAAGTTTGTGAAATTCATTTTGGTAGTTTTAATCCTGCTCACAGGAAGATGCAAAGAGATGCACCTCTCCCCTTTGCAGAGAAATAACCGATAAACCATTTCCATAAGTACAAAGAACTTGTTAGAGCAATTCTTTGCTTCAGTATCGAACATCGCAACACCAATAAACCACCATTTATCTGAATACTTTATGACTGCAGTAAATATCAAATGGTGAATCAGGAGAAAAAAATGAATTTATAAATGAACTCTGAACCTGTAGTTTTCCACAGTTGATTTCTTTAATGATACACGTGTTCTGCATCTTGACACAGTAACTGACCCACCCCTCAAAGTGACTCAGGTAATCGCAGGAAGTTTGTCTTTAGAGCTGAGCCCAGAATCTCGTAGGTAATTACAATAGTTTCTCTCCTGGTATTTACTCCGTGGCTCCTAAAGGCCACTCCCTCCTTCCTGTCAGGAAATGCATTTGCTGTTGTGTTGCATGCTGATTAAGCGTCAATTCGTTTTCCCATCAGAGAGATATTGTGTGAAATATTTCACTAACACTACCCGACAGAATGAAGTCATAGCTGAAGTCAAACCCTGGCAGATGTCTGACCGTACAGGTCAATCCAACAGGGGGCACAAGTCTTGTGACACCAGGGGGACAGACTGGGCGACACCACCTTTGTACTGAACTTGTTCCCCTGACAAGCTGCTGAATATTTGATCCTCAGGCTTTGTTTTAATTTCCACAAAAAGCTAAAATCTGTGACTGATTGGCATACGATGCAGCTTAAGTGATTTAGCGTAACAACTTTTTGTATCGCCTAATTAAATCACAGACAATGTCTTACTTAGTAAGAAGGCTTTCTATTTTAGCTTGCACCCAAACACCTGAGTCCCTTGCACTTCCTGACATTTAAGGACACTGTGAATTCTCTTGTTGATGTTTTGTTTCACTTCAGATGTAAAGCATTAAATATGAACCTCAAGCTGAGACTTTTAATGGAAGGACTCCTGCTGGGATTCGGATATCTGGTTAAATCTCCAGGGTGGATTTTTACGTTTTTCAAAGCCACCTCATTCACACAGTGATGGGTCTCAGAGCAACATAAGCTGTATTTCAAAGTCTGTGGATGGATTCTGTGTACATAAGGCTGTTTATAGTTAAATGAAGCTCAAAAGGCTTCTCAGTGGGGAGACATCTATCAAGTTTTTGGATTCCCGAATTGCTGAAGAAGATAGTAATGCCAATTTCCTAAAAGAAGAGACAACAGACAACCATTTTGAGTATTCGGGACATTCAAGACATGAAAAAGTACTGGAATGAAAATCTTTAACTACACTTTTGTAGTTAAGTCAACAAGGGTCCATGGTGCATGATATGAAGAGACATAAACCCTTAGGAAACTAGTATGAGTACAGCTCACAGATAAATACTGGAAGGGAATATTTGTGACTGAAATATAATGTGTTGTGTTGCAAAATATTCTTTTCAGTCAATATTGTTTTTTTTTTTAATTTCATCTCTGTTAAATATCTCACAATAGCAACAGCAATAACACTAATTATAACCATAATTTATGGTGAGATTTGGCTCTTTATCCACTTATGCTCTTATGTTTTCTCCATCTTCCTCGTCTAGTGGACGACCTCTTCAGAGAGGCACACATCAAGTCAAATGGGATCGTCAAATACGAAGAGTTCACAGCGATGCTGACGCTGCCACCTGTTGATTACTGATTTTTTTTAAAAAAAGAAAACAACTACGTCAAACTTCAGGACAACAAGCTGGAAAACTGACTCTGAATATCAAGAAGGTGACATCATAGTCACATTTTGCACATGAAGTTCGGTTGTATTAAATTTGCCTGTTGGTACAGCAAAGGTTTTTCACAATGATTATTTCTTGAATATTTTATGATTAATGCACAATACAATACTTTAATTTCTTTCCATAACTCTCCTTTGTAACTGAACACTACACAGTACGTGTTAGCATGTGACCCTGGTGTAAAGCCATTAAATCCTCAGCGTCATAGCTGACCACGCTTCACCCAATTAAATCCTAGCCCTTGGGTGTTAATATTGACTAGTGAGTATGTACCAATCTCATCTTTTATGAGTTTCAAGTGTTCACACATCGTTGTTCAACAAGCTTGTATGTAAAACTTGTGGAATTTGAAAGAAAATAAATTCTAATTCCTGCTGGTATTTAGAAACTCTGACAGCTCCAATTTCTCTGCCATCTCAGATCTTGCATGCATAAATAACTGTCTCACATTTCACATTTATTAAAACTCTATTTAAATAAGTGACATCTCATATTTATTTTTCCTTTTATGAGGGCTACAGCCACAAAATCTTTGTGTTTCACACGTTTTAATTAGTAGCGTTTAGCACAGTGTATCAGTATGCATACTTAATGACAAAACACTCACAGACTAATTCAACGAATTCCATTTTCTCCACATTTATTGTATGGGCTAAACTTTAATGGTTCATTAAAGTCAATTATACCACGGTGTAAGTGCTGTGAAAAGATGCTACTTAACAATCTGCCTGCTTCAGTGTGAACGTGTTTAATGACTACTACACATGTGGCATTATGTCCATTCAACATAAGTGGTTGATCTTATGCTTGGAAACCAACAATTTCATTAAATGTACAGAGATGAATCTTTAAAAATAAAACAAAGTACAGGAATAAATCACCAACAAACTAAAAATAATAATAATAACAATAAAAAACAACTATGCAACTAAACATGGCAGGTATGTAAAGTTCTTTACTCATCTAAATTGTCTGTAAATATAAAGGTTGTACATGTCAAAGCACTGGCTTGTTTTTGTCTTCGAAAATAAGAACTACTAACGAGAATAAATGAGCAAAGGTGTGAAAAACAGAACATTTTATCTTAGTGGTAACAGCAAGGCTGATATAAAACATCTATTAGTAAAGTCTGAGTTTCATGCAAGTGTGACCTGAGTTCACCTGTGCCTTCCCTGTTATGACATATCAAAATGTTGTAAAAAAACACAAATTAAATACTATGTCTGCTCCAAGATAAACAACTATCATTAGGATGCCCGAATACTGCCTAAAGTAGGCCAGGCTATCCATTACTTTGAGTTGCGAGATAAATAACCCTGGTCTCTAGGCCTAACATTTCAGTGGTGTTAATTGGCCCCAAATGCTTCTATGTCAGTGCTTAGTGGTTTTGTCCCATCCTTTACTGGAATCAGACAGGTTAGAGTCCTCATCCATTAGCCTGTTGTTTGGTAAAAAATGAAACATGCTCCCTTCTACACACATCAATAACCACCTGGCAGGTTTACCATCTAGGCTTCATTCGTCATGGTTATATCTTAGATTTATCATGGTGTCACAGTCCTTGGCTCTTTGTCATGATCCAGGCAAAGACTTTTTCCTATACAAAGTTAGGAGAAAAATCATTACATGTGTAATCCAGCAGCATGCTTCAGAGGTATTTCAATAGCCTTACTGATGTTTTCAATTTTGGTGAAATAATAAAATGCTTGCCACGGCACAACCAACACTTCAATTTATGCAGACTGTGTCTCTTCTGCCCACTTTTGTGATGAAGAAATGTTTTGTCGGCTTTGAAAATACTTGAATTACAACTTTGGAGTGACTGAAAACAACAATGCAATTATAGCTTAAGGCACATCATGCTCCTGGACATCAGATAAAAAGATTATTTCAAGCTTTGATATGTGATTAACTATCAAAGTTGGATACAAAGAAAAAAAACTTTTGTAATTTACGAGTTCTTTCATTTCCCAAGAAGCTGCTGCTTTGAACCACAAGTGAGTCCAGCAATAATCTCGTTGATAGTCACACAAAACACCAAAACATTTACATGTTTACTTGATATCAAGTTGGTAAATCTGCCACTGCATACATGTTAATGCTACAGTACTGTGCAAAATTCTCAAGCAACGCCTCATTTCTTTATATTTTGTTAGGAAAATAGGACGTAGGTGCAGCAAACACATGGAAATACAGTATATAAGGCAAAACCAGTCTATACCTGTATTAATACATTTTAGATTTGGTATGAGCACATTTATTCTTCAACTGAACTCTTAGGCAAGCTTCCTTCTCATTTCTTTAAGTAGTCTTCTAAGAATAGTTCTCCAGGCTTCTTGAAGGACATTAAAATCTCTTCCTTTTTTGTTCCAATCTGTCAAAAATTATCCCTCACTACACTAAAACTACACTACAAGAAAGTTTAGGTGTTTGGAAGCAAATTTTAAAAGGATGAGGGGTAGATCGAGACATTTGCACAGTGGTGTGCAATAACATTAAAAACGTGTCAAACAGAGCAACAAGCAACTAAAAAGGCAGGGGTACATAATAATCCTCTGTAATTGTAAAGTCATCATACATTCTGATGATGTATGAATCTTTGATAATAACAAATATATAAAAACTTGGCATTCACTGGACAGAATTTTAGGTATTACAATTCTTTTCAGCTACACTACATACATATGTAATTTGGTCCTTTTATTGTGATTTTTGACAAAAGGATATAGATATGTGATGATTTTTCCCCTTTACGCCTTATCATCCTTTGTTTAATAGCTTTACAGAAGCTTGCTTATTGGTTTTTAATCATTAGACATGTAAGAACATATATGACGGCACTGAACTGAGAAATCTGAGCTGCTTTCCAATTTCTGAAGAAAGTTTTTAATGATTATGTAATTATCATGAATTCTCATAACAGAACATGGCAATAATTAAACACCTAGAAAAGTATAAAATACCACATATTACTGATTCTTCCACTAATTTACCCTTCTGAATCTATTGTATTATGATGTGCTATGTTATCTTAATTTCCCTCCATTCGACTATTATTTTAATCAAGAGTTTAATAATATTATTGACATCAAATGATCCAGTACTCAAGAAGTTAAGGCACTGGGCCTGCCAATACCTGACATAATATGTTTGTTGGCTATGTGGCCTCAAGCACCAGGTATTGACTGCAGCTTTTCCTTTTGAAATGTACATTTTACTTTGTTAATAAAAGTTTGCTTAAACTGTCCCTCTAAGCGATTACAGTATAATAATCACAGCATAAAACCTAAGCTTCACATCTCTGCTCGCTGGAAGAGTATTTGCTATCTTGGAACCAAAGGTGACCCTATTTGAACAGTAGAAACGCTATGTTTGCAGGTAAAGCTAGCTAGCTCGATTAGCATAGTGTATCCATAGATTGGATAACATACAAACAAAATTCTTGAATGTAGTTTAATAAACTGCAGCACAGACTTCGTGTGGGCAAGTTGCTAATTAAATAAAGCCATGTATAGCTTATCTTATTAGCATTAACAAGCCATTTCAATCTGATATTCAAAAGCTGTAAGTTTGTTGGTGTAATCTTAATTTCTTCTTAGAGTTCTCTATTTTTCTTATATCTAAAATAATCACACTCTTTTACGCGTTGGTTTGTTGGCAACAACGACAGTAAAACTGTCATGTTGCTCCACCATCTGATTATTTATTTTCCACAAAAACTTCACAATAAAGGCTCGATATCCTTTTGAGACTTTTCAAAATAAAACAGGAAATAACTACAAATGGCGCTTGCAAATTGTGTCAGTGCAGCGACTGTTTCTCTGTGCTGACAGAGGGATAGCATTCTTTTTTTGGTAAAGGTCATTATAAATAGAATTTCAGAGACTACCTTTAACTTTTTATTGAAATCATTTTTCATGTTCACATGTGTAAACATTACTGGGTTGCACCATTGACTGTAGAAAACAACTGTTTTCTACAGTCAATGGGTTGCACACATCTCCTAGCCACAACACAGCCACATTCAACATGTCTAAATCCGGAAGTAGCTCCTTCAGTCTTTTCTGGACAACACTGAACAGTTATGAATGGCTGATCTGAATAAACTGGCAGATGTATCGTAGTTCCTCTGTCATCAGGGTCATGTCTGTGGGCTTTTTATCAAAGGCAGCAACTGCTATAATGAATGGTTTATTGCTTATAAGGAGAGCATTTAATGTTACCAGTCTTTGACATTTTTTTAATCTTGATTTTAAGTGCTTTTCAAACACATTCTGTTTTCAGTAAACTCTCTTAATGAACTAAATTCATCATGCTTCAGAAGAGAAGTGCCAAAAACACAAGCACAGGTCTTCGGTAAGCCATCTTTGTTCATGACCCTCAGGTTTTTCCCACCTATTTGTCTTCTTCCTATCCACAGAAAAACTGAAGGCTAATATCCATTCTCTT